AATCCTATAGTAACCCAACGAATCCCATCGGATGCCGATGGCAATCCCATAGGAATGCTAGGAAGCCTGTTAGGAAGCCTGTAGGATTCCTATGGGAATCCTAAGAAACTTTTAAGAATCGTGCCCTAAGAACCTTCTAGGAATCCCAAGAATTATAGGAAACCTGTAGGATTAGGAATCCCAGGGACACTCCATGAATTTTATATGAATCCTGTAGAAATCCTTTAGGAAGCCTAGAGGAATCCTATGAACCCTGCACGAATCCCCAAGGAATCCTATAGGAATAGCACACATCTTTACGGAATCTAATACGATTCCTATGCATCCTATGCGAATCCTTAGGATGCCTATAGTAATCATATGAATCCAATGTGAATCGTGGAGGAATCCCACAGGAACCCTATATAGGGATCTGATGAATCCTATGCGAATCTTTTTAGAAACCGACGGGGCGTTCTATGAATCCTATATGCATACCATAGGAATCTGACAGGAATCGTATGAATCCGATACGAACCCTACAGGAATCCAATGAATCCCGCATGAATCCGGTAGGATGTCTACAGGGAACCTAAAGGAATCACATGAATCCTATACGATTCCCATAGGAATCCTATTGTAGCCCAATGAATCTTATAGGAATCCCGTATGCATCCAATGAATTCTGTACGAATTCCAAAGGAACCCTATAGAAACCTAGACGCATCCCACAAGAATCCTATAGGAATCCCAAGAATCTTCATAAGAAACCCATAGGAATCTCATGAATCCTATACGAATCCTTAGGAACCCCATCGGAGTCTTATGAATCTTATATGAATCCTGTAGGAATCCTGTAGGAACCCTGTAAGGATCCTATGAATCCTATACGAACCCTATGGGAATCCCATGGGCATTCTAAAATCTTGTGTAAATCCGATGCGAATCCTATGGGGATCCTATAGGATTCCTAACGACTCCTATACGGATCCTATAGGAATCCTATAGGTCCTATACGAATCCTTTAGGAGGCCTATGGGAACCCTGTAGGGATCCTAAGAATCCTAGACGAGTCCCATAGGAATCCTATAGGATCCCTATAGGATTTCTATGAATCCTATAGGAGTCTCATAGGAATCCAATAAATCCTGTACGAGTCCCATAAGAATCATATCGGAGCCTTGTTTGAATCCTATGAGAATCCGATCGGAATCTTATGAAAAGTATATGAATCCTGTCGGAACCCGATGGGCAGCCTAATGGAATCCTATGAGTCCTGTACGAATCCCAAAGGAATCCTATAGGCATCCTAAGAATCCTAAAGGAAACCCATAGGAATCTTATACATCCTATACGAATCCTTAGGATTTCAATAAGAATCCGATGAATCCTATATGAATCCTGTAGGAATCCCATAGGAAGGCTATAGGGATCCTATGAATCCTATACGAATCCGATGGGAATCCTGTGGGAATTGTACGATTCCTAAACAATTCCTATAGGAATCCTATAGGAATCTCAGGAATCCTGTTAGGAATCCGACAGGAATCCTATAGGTCCTATATGGATCCTGTAGGAATCCTCTACGAACCCTATAGGGACCCGATGGAATCCGATACGAGTCTTATAGGAGTCCTCCTCGGCATTCTATGAATCCTAAACGAATCCTATAGGAGTCCCATGGGAGTCCCATGGATTCTGATCGAATTCTATAGGCATCCTGTAGGAATCTTATGAATCGTATACAAATCCTATGCGAATCCCAGAGGGCCGGTGGACGATGAGAAAGTCACAGGCGGGAGCCCTCGGCGTTGTTGTTGTTGTTGTTGTTGTGGTTGTTGTTGTTGTTGTTTGTGGGGAGGGGCAGCCCGGGGCACGACGCGCGTCCCTATTCTTGTTGTTGTTGTTGTTGTTGTTGTTGTTGTTGTTGTTGTTGTTGTTGTTGTTCGCGAGGTCACTGCTGGAGGTCCGTTGCTCGACCCCCCCCCCGAGCAACGCCACGGGGCCACGCACGGGCCCCGCAGGGCCCCTGGTCCGAGCAACGCCACGTGGCCTCGCCAGGACGCTGCGGGGATCTGCGCGGCCCGGCGGCGTTGCTCGGAAGGTCCTTTCGGGGCTGCTGCGGAGTCCCATACAGGCCCCAAGGGGCGCACCCCTCTCACGGATCGTGGCCCTGGCCCCACAGGGAGCTCCACCGAGGTTTGATTTCGGTCGGCGCACCCCGCTCAAGGATTCCTTAGGGATTCCTTTTGAATATTATAGGACCCCTACAGAATCCTTCAGGATTCCATAGGTCTCCTATAGGGAATTCTACGGGATCCTTACAGGGTACTAGAGGATTCCATAGGAACCCCATAGGAATCTGGATGGAATCCTACAGGATCCCTGTTGGGTTCTACAGGAGTCCATAGGCAACCGAATGGAATCCTATAGGGATCCTATAGGATCCCTACATGTTCCTACAGGATTTCATGATAATCCTATTGGAATCCAGCAGAAAACCTTCTTAGGATCCCTGCAGGGTCCTGCAAGATTCCATCGGAAACCAATCGGAATCCTGTGAGAATCCTATAGGATCCCTACAGGGTCTTAGAGGATTCCATAGGAAGCATACTGGAATCCTATTGGAAATCTCATAGGATCCCTACAGGGTCCTACAGGGTTCCATAGGAACCCTATTGGGAATCACATAGGGTCCCTACAGGGTCCTGCAGGATTTCATAGGATTCCTATTGTAATACTACTGGAATCCGATGGGATCCTTAGAGTGTCCTACAGGATTACTCAGGAATCTTATTGGAATCTCATTGGAAACACATAGGGTCTTGACAGGGTCCTACACTATTCCATAGGAATCCGATTGGAATCTCATTGCGATCCCATAAAGGTCACCACAGGGTCCTACAGGATTCCAGAAGAATTCCATTGGAATCCTATGGGGCTCCTATTGGAATCCTATAGGATCCCTACAGGGTTCTACAGGATTCCATCGGACTCCACTCGGATTCCTAGTGGGGTCCTATAGGATCCCTACAGGGCCTACAGGATTCCATAGGAAGCCAATGGGAATCCTGTTGGGGTCCTTTTGGGTCCCTATAGGATCCCTTCAGTGTCTTACAGGATTCCATAGGAACCCTATAGGAATGTTGTAGGATCCCTACAGGGTCCTACAGGATTGCATAGGAATCCGATGTAATACTGCTGGAATCCTATGGGATCCCTACAGGATGCCGTAGGATTCCGATAGGAATCCGACAGGGTCCTACAGGATGCCGTAGGATTCCTATGGGAATCCTGTAGGACCCCTGCAGGATTCCATAGCAACCCTATAGGAATCTGATGGGGGGCCCTACAGGATCCCTACAGGGTCCTGCAGGATTCCATAGGAACCCTAGAAGAATCGTATAGGATCCTTACAGGGTCCTGCAGGATTCCATAGGAGTCCTAGAGGGAGGAGGAGCTGGCCTCGCTGGCGCGCGGTCGGTTTTCGGACAGGAGTGCGTGGGCAACAGTAAGGGGGCCCACGGAGCTTCGTAAACACATATAGGTTTACGTCAGCGTATGACAGAGGTGCTGCGCGTTGCTCCCCCCCAGGGGCAACAGCTGCAACGTGTGGCCTGGGGGAGTGCGCTCGCCCCGTGGGCGAGGATACCACCACGGGCCCCGCCGGGATGGCCTGCGAGGTTGTCCTTGCGTTGTTGTTGTTGTTGTTGTTGTTGTTGTTGTTGTTGTTGTTGTTGTTGTTGTTGTTGTTGTTGTTGTTGTTGTTGTTGTTGATGTTGTTGTTGTTGTTGTTGTTGTTGTTGTTGTTGATGTCGTTATCGTCGTCGTCGTCACCCTCGCCGTTATTGTCGTCGTCGTTGTTGTCGTCTATGGTGTCGTCGTCGTCGTCGTCCGAGATGGACATTTACGTCGTCGTCATCGTCGTTGTCGTCGTTGTCGTTGTCGTCGTCGCCCTCCTTTTACTCCGTCGTCTTCTTCCGTTGGTGTCGTCGTCCGTCGTCCGTCGTCCGTCGTCCGTCGTCCGTCGTCCGTCGTCGTCGTCGTCGTCGTCGTCGTCGTCGTCGTCCGCGATGGCCATCTACGTCGTCGTCCTCGTGTCGTCATTGTCGTCGTCGTCGTCGTCGTCCTTGTCGTTTTCGTTGTCGTCGCCGCCGTCCTTTTTCGCCGTCGTCTTCGTCCGTTGTTGTCGTCGTCCGTCGCCGTCCGCCGTCCGTCGTCCGTCGCCGTCGTCGTCGTCGTCGTCGTCGTCGTCCGCCGTCCGTCGTCGTCGTCGTCGTCGTCGTCGTCGTCGTCGTCCATCGTCTATCGTCCGTCGTCCGTCGTCCGTCGTTGCCATCGTCGAAGAAAGGGTGGAAGGGTGGGGGAGGAGGAGGAGGGAGGATGGATTTCATATCGAGGTTGTCAGGCGTGCCAGTACATGTTGGCGCCCCTGGGTCCCATGAAAGGTCCGGGGGGTCGGTTTGAGGGTGGGAGGCGTCGTGGCGGTCGTTGTCGCCGCCCCTGTTGCCATTGCCGTCAACGCGTCAACGCTGTCTTTGGCCTCGTTGTCGTCGTCGCCGTCGACGTCGCCATCGCTGCCGGAATGAGGGAATGAGGAGGAAGATAATGAGGAAACGGTAACGGAGGCAATCGGGGAGGAGGAGGAGGAGGAGGAGGAGGAGCAGGAGCAGGACGAGGAGGAGGAGGAGGAGGAGGAGGATAAAATGGAGGATGACATAATGAGATGGATGCATGGACGGATGGATGGATTGACGGACGGGGTGACGGACGGATAGGGATGGATGGATGGACTGAAGGATGGATGGATGGATGGATTGATGGATGGATGCATTGACGGATGGATGGTGATGATGATGCTGCTGCTGATGAGGATGATGGTGGTGGTGGTGGTGATGACGATGATGAGGCCAAGAGGTGCAGGACGAGGAGGAGGAGAAGGAGGAGGAGGAGGAGGGATGGCGGGGGCGGAGGACGATGGAGGACGGAAGGGCTTTGGTCGAGGAGGAGCGTCTCCCCAGGACTGGGTGGTGGTGCCCGAAGCGCGGGCTGGTGGGCCGGTCGTGGGCGTCGTGCTCCTCAGGCACGAGAGCGTGCACGTGTACAACTTCGATATCCGAGAAGACGCAAACAACGCATACGTACTGCAAACCGGGGTCATGAGGATGATCACTTTCCCCCTCCTCCCCCTCCTTCCTCCCTCGCTCCTCTCGCCTCCTCCTGCAATGATGCGAATGACGATGGTCGTCGTCATTTATTCTGCTGTGGTCCCGCCCATGCGCTCCGCGCCCCCAAGGGACGGGCTCTTGCAGCTGGGCGACGGGCTTCTGTCTGTCTCTTTCTCTTCCTGCAAGCTTAGATCGACTGGGAGGGTAGCGTCTGCATGCAGAACTTCGGTGTATGCGCTCTGGCCAGCAATCCAGGTCCAGGTGGGCGCAGCAGAACAAAGAAGTGTTCCTCCACTCCTCCTCCCTCCTCCTCCTCCTCCTCCTCCGCCTCCTCCTCCTCCTCCTCCTCCTCCTCCTCCCCGTGGGCTTACGAGGCTGCCTGACTGCAGTTGAGAACTCTGCACATCAGATGGACGAGTAGCTTTCCCAGTGCCCCTGTATCGTTCGAAGAGGGTGACGACGACGACGACGAGGCGACGACGACGACGACGACGGCCATAAAGGTAGATTTTCCGAGGCTCGAGAGCATTTCGTCTTGTGGCGCCTCTGTGGCCCCGTCCCTGGCGCGCTCTTCGCGCCGGGGGAGGGGAGAGGAGCCAGCGTCGATCCAGGAAATCCGCACGGCCATACGACACGACGACGACGACGACGACGGCGGCGGCGACGACGACGACGACGTCTTCCACACTCTGAAGGGTCCTTGAAGGGCATAAACATAAGGCTTTCGGCGCTCCGCTCGGATTTTCTTGGGTCGGCGCTGGGGTTTCCCTGGCGGCGCCTCTGGCGCCGCCCCGGGCGCGCTCCGCGCGCCAGGGAGGGAGGGTCCAGTGCGGAGCCAAGAAATTCGCGCGGACTTTACCACAGCCTATGTCCTAAGTTGTTTTACCCCACGCTGTTCTTGACTCTTCGTGTCGCTTCAGGTTGTCGGGTGGGTGGGTTGGATTTTCGACTGGTGCCCGCTTGGTGGGGGCCTCGTGATAAGGGGGCCACGCGCGAACCCTACCCCTGCCCCCCACGATCTCCGATGGGGGAGGGTGGGGTTCACTTCGTTCGGGAGCTCCCAGGCGAAGTGAACCCCACCCTCCCCCTCCGAACTCGTGGGGGGTAGGGGGGCAGGGGTCGCATGCGGCCCCCCGTCGTCGGCACGTCGTGGGCGCCTCGTGCGCGGGGCGGGCGTGCCGAACTCTCGCCCGGTGCCCGCCTCGCGGGCGCCTCGTGGGCGCCTCGCGGGCGCCTCGCGGGCGCCCCGCGGGCGCCCCGTGGGCGCCTTGCGTGCGCTGCGTGTGCGTGTGTGTGTGTGCGCGTGTGTGCGCGTGTGTGTGCGTGTGCGTGTGCGTGTGTGTGTGTGTGTGTGTGTGTGCGTGTGCGTGTGCGTGTGCGTGTGCGTGTGTGCGTGTGCCTGTGCGCGTGTGCGTGTGCGGGTGTGCGTGTGTGCGTGCGCGTGTGCTCGGAGTTTTCTTCTCCTCCCCCCCCCGCGGGGCGTCCGCCTGCCCTCTTCCCACTCCTGCGTGCTGGCCAGTCCGCTTCTCGGTGCCCTCTGTCTAGCTCTTTCGCTTGTGCAGCCAACTCTGCCTCGCCGCCAATGGTGCAAGTGTGAGTGTGTGTGTGTGTGTGCCCCTAGGTTTCGCCTGCTGCCTGATCGTGGCCGCCTCGTGAGCTCCTCGTGCGCTGGTTGGTTGTGCCGAGGCTCCGCCTGGTGCACACGCCCGTGGGCGCCGCGTTCGCGCCTTGTGGGCGCCTTGTGTGCGGCGGGCTGCTGCATACATTACACTGCATGGCCTTTACCACAAAGCTCCCACATCATAGCTCACACGACATTTTTTACACCACACAGCTTGCACCACGCAGCTTGCACCACACAGCTTGCACCACATACTTTGGACCGCACAGTCAACACCACGCAGCAGGCTACCATAGCAAACACCTCGTAGCTTGCGCCGCACAGCTTGCACCACATAGCTTACACCATATCGCTCTTGCCATGTATCTTGCACCACATAGCTTGCACCGCGTATCGAAGACGCCTATGGCGAGTCACCGTCATCCTCTGCCTTTTGGAATCGCCCATGCGCCGAGCGTTGTGGCAAGATCTCCGCCAACTTATCTGACCATGTGTTTCCCCATCCGTTGTCGAACACCTTTTGGGGAACACTTGGGGGAGGATGGCGAGGATTATCAGAAGGAGGAGGAGGAGGAGGAGGAGGAGGAGGAGGAGGAGGAGGAGGAGGAGGAGAAGAGGGACGAGGAGGAGGAGGAGGAGGCGGAGGAGGGAGGAGGAGGAGGCGGAGGGGACATCTTAGGAGCTTCTGGGGGCACTCTTGGTGTCTCCTGGGAGCTTCCTGGGAGCCGCTTGGATGGATGCATCTTGGGGGACTCGGGCCTCTTGGGGGCCTTTGGGGGCTTCTCGGGTGCATCTTTGCCCGTCTCAGGGTGCTCCTGGCCCGTCTGACGCCGTCGGAAGCCGTCTTGGGGGCCTCTCTGGGCCGACTTGGGGCCCTCTTAGGGTGTTCCAGGGCCGTCTTGGAGACCATCTTGGGCGTCTTGGAGGCCTTTTGGGCCGTCTTGGGGCCGTTTCGGGGCCGTCTTGGGGGCCTCTTGGGCCGTTCTGGGGCCACCTTGGAGCCCCTTGGGCGACCTTGGGGCGACCTTTGGGGGATCTTGGGTCGTCTCGGGCCGTCGGAAGGCCGAACAGAGACGAATGCTTAAATGTTTTCAACCTCCCAGGGAGAAACAATGATTTGGCCTCTTCAGGCCTTCCTGGAGGCCCTCTTGGGGGTCTCTTGGGCCGTCTTGGAGGCCTCTTGGGGGCCTCTTGCGAACCATCTTGGGCCGTCTTGGTGGCCTCTTGGGCGGACTTGGAGGCATCTCGGACTCTAAAGGGAGCTGACGGACGTAAGGAGTGGAAGCGAACGTGCGCCCGCGGCCGCGTCGGCTCAAGCGGCCGGCCGCCCAAATTTGCATGTGCCTCACGGCGAGGCACACAATCGCTATCGAGACCAACAGGATCTCCCTATTGCTTGAGATGACATCTCCTCTCATACTGGAACTATCGTTACTACGGTACAACAGAGTTGGAGCTTGGCTTAGCCCGAGGCGAAGCTGTTGGCTGGGCCTTCGAGCCCCCTTCAAACTTGGTAGCGGAGCTGGCCTATGGTGGTCAGCTCTAGCTCTACTCCTCACCATCCACGGCACTATCTGGTGGACTACAGATACGGTGGAACATCAGGGTGCAGTTGGATTGCGCGGAGGAGTGTGTACAGTTACGCCGTACCGCAAGGAAACTTGCAGCGGTACCTCTGTCCAAGCGGAGGTCTCTCACTCACATCTTACATCCCTGCGCTATTACACTCCTGAGGTCCACCCGCCTACTCCAATTTGACATTTCTTCGAAGACAAAATGCATGGAAACATGCGATGCGACATGCTGCCTCCTCCGACCCACGCAGACTTACGACGACAAAACATAAGTCCCCACCGACTACATCCGACTACGACCTACGAAGCCACTGGATCGGGGTTATTATCTTTGGGCTCGTATGGGTCGCTATTCGGTGTGCGGTAGGACATATGCGGGGCGGAGACGACACTAGAACGACTGGCCCCCATGGGGACCCTGCCGGCCAAGTACCATTTCGCGAGTTCGTCCGCGAAGTGCATGCCTGGAACAATGTGACCATCGGCAACATGACGCCCTCCCAGCAAGCCGCCGCATTGCAGCGAGGTTTGGGAGGTCTCGCGCGGAGTATAGCCATGAGAGTCCCCCCAGCAGTTATCAATTTCGGCGTCAATATAGGCGGTCGCCACACTGACGGCGTCACCTACATTATGTTCCTCTTAAGTACGAAGTTCGAGAACCTAGAAGAGGAACGCCAACTTAACCCTGGCGCGGCTCTCATTGACTTTCGAGTCCATGCGGGTGAACGCATCGACCAGACGTTAGCATGGTTGGAAATAGCCCGCTACGAAGCTGAAGCCGCCGGCTTCCATATCCCCAACCCCCAAATCTTAACGGTGATTCTATTCAGACCTTTTGGAGTGGGGACATCGCGTGCACAGCAACTCCTGCAGCCTCTGAACCACCGCATGCCGAGGGACCAACCACAATTTGACGCACCACTTGAACGTGTGAGGTGGTGTGCTCACATAGCTGAGAGGACCCCTGGCAATATTGCTAGTATCTTTAGCCACGGTCACCGAACCGAGACCTTCCACGCAGAGGCCAACGCAAGGCAACCTGCCAACAACGTCTGGAACGAGGATCCACAGCCAACTGAGACCACTACACTGTTGGCTCAGAATGCTGGAGCGGCTTCGGGGTCGCAAGGCCCCTGGGCCAGATCTGGGGGACCGCCCGGCGCGGCTCCCCTTATACCAGCTATGGCCCTAATGGGCTCAGCGGGGCAACCCGCCGAGTCCGACTTCGACTCCGGTGCCGCTGTGGATGCGTCTTCCGATGATGACGCCACCGCCTTGGATTGCTCTGATATGCCTACGTGCCTTACTGAAGAGCAGCAAGCTCAATGGTTATTTTTGGCCATCAAAAGCACAAGCGTCGTCGGCGGAGGTTCATGCAGAAACCAGTCCGAAGGGGGAGACGTACGACGGTCACATAAAAGGAAAAGGCACGGGTCGAAGTATTGGCAAAGGTAAGCGTCAGCGATTACTTGTTAGATGCATACTAGCATTCCCGGTGTCTCTTACTGGACCTCAGTCCGAGGAAATGTTTTTAGGTACTGGCAGAAACCGCAGGCACACATCAGGCAAAGGTAGAGGACGACGAGGAAATCCAAAGGATGCCAACGGTAAAACCATGGAGCGCGTCATATGTCACAGCGCAACATTTCCGACGCGAATGCCCTCAAGGTGATGGGAGAGGCAGGGGTCCGTCAATTCATCTGGCTCAAACGGACTCCAGCATGCATTATGTTGATTGGGAGTCGCTTTTAGCCGACCCC